GAATGAATTCACACTACACATGGAAAGAGGTGGAAGGGGGTTGGGGGAGGATGGGAGGGACAGTTAAGTTCCTGATCTTGGGCAAGTCTCTCAAGATCCTGTGACCACGTCCCTCATCTGTAAGATGAGGAATGCCAGACCAGCAAGGTACTTTCCGCTCTGCCTGTGATTCAGAGTCACCAGGGAGCCCAAGCCCAGGCAAATGTATTTATAAAGGTCTATAAAGGTCTACAGCCTAACCTCATGGAACGAGGACCTCTGGACCTGAGAAATAATCTCCCAACTTCCCTAAAATGACATATTCTTAAAAAGGTGGTGAGGGCCGGCCCCGTGGCTTAGCGGTTAAGTGCTTGCGCTCCGATGCAGGCGGCCCGGGTTCGGATCCCAGGCGCGCACAGACGCACTGCTTCTCCGGCCATGCTGAGGCCACGTCCCACATACAGCAACTAGAAGAATGTGCAACTATGACATACAACTATCGCCTGGGGCTTTAGGGGAAAAATAAATAAATAAAAAGTTTAAAAAAATAAAAAAAATAAAAAAATAAAAAAATAAAAAAAAAAAGGTGGTGAGATACTGGTGCAAAGTATTATCCATTATTCATAAGTTTTAAAAAAGAAATGTAGATAATTGCATGATCAAAGATGGGGAAAATGTGTACTGGGAAATCACTGCGTTCAGTCATACAAAACATAAGGCTTCCTAATCCCCTTTATATTCCAGTTTCTCTCTCTCACTCTGACTTTTCCATTAATTTGATTTAATTTCCCTTTATTGTGGCAAACAAGCAGAACCGTTTTTGTTATTAATCTAAGATTCAAATGACAGGCCTAATTTAACATCCCATGAAACTACTGAGGCTATTTTCTCACACAGAATGTTGCCCTTGATCACAATGCTGCCATTCACGTTATAACCAGATGAGTACCTGCAATGCAGTCTCCTTCCAAACCTTAAGATCAATCTTTTGTCAGGAACTAAACCTTTTTCCTTAAAACAGACAGACAGACAGACAGATTGAATACAAGCCCAAGGCCTGAATAAGAGAAGCTTGTCTGAATAGATACTTCCAATGCAGAGACATGGCAAAAACCGCCTCATTTTTAACACTACCTTCACATCCTAAAAATTAGACATTTTTTACCTTTTCAGTAATCCCACTTTGAATCAAGTCTAAAACGCTCAAGTGGCAGTGGGAATCCATACATTAATAGCTTAACATTAGAAATAAAATGTACTGGGCCGGCCCCGTGGCTTAGCGGTTAAGTGCGCGCGCTCCGCTGCTGGCGGCCTGGGTTCGGATCCCGGGCATGCACCGACACACCGCTTGTCCGGCCATGCTGAGGCCGCGTCCCACAACAGCAACTAGAAGGAAGTGCAGCTGTGACATACAACTATCTACTGGGGCTTTGGGGGAAAAAATAAATAAAATTATTAAAAAAAAAAGAAATAAAATGTATTAAACTTACTTGATTCTCCTCCCAGTTTCATTCATCAACAGACATTTTAGAGTAAAGACAGAGGGAACACCAATTTATTCAGTGTCTACTCAATAACGCAGCAAGGAACCATTCGCGTCTCCATACTGCCGAAGAGGAAACTGAGGCTCAGGGAGGTGAGGTAACGGGCAAAGCCACAGCCATTAAGAAGTGGAGCCCAGGGCCGGCCCTGTGGCTTGGTGGTTAAGTGCGCGCGCTGCGATGCTGGCGGCCCGGGTTCGGATCCCGGGTGCGCATCGAGGCACCACTTC